GCGGACAGAATCGCTTGTGACGTCAAGGACTGAGAGCTCCCCCAGGCTGGGTTGGACAGGAGCTGCCTGCTCAACATTTGGAACTGGGGCTAAAAGAAATAGAAAGAATAGGTTATTATAAACTTTGTGCTGGTAAAACTAACTCAGTACTATGTTTGGAACATAGTTCTGTATAGCTTGATCCTGTTGTATTATTGTACATTTTGAGATGACATCAAGAGGTTGATAATATGAAACTTGTCTTCTTTATGTTAAGGATGCGTCTATTGTTCTTGACTTCCTCCACAATCCTAAAATCTATCAAGATTTTGAAAAATGGGGATTATTCAGGTGTATGGATTAGATGCAGCCCTGTAAGGAGAATCTTCTCTTAACCCAATGGAAAAAATAGTTGATATATGTTGCTCCTCAATACTTGAATTAATTTAGTTTCCACCTGATGGATAAAGAGGCAGCTGAAAATGGGAGGGGGAGGAGGAATTCCAAAGGAGACAGGCAAAACAACAGAAATCCAGCACAATATTAGCAAAAGATCTAACTTGTAGGAACTAGTATGAAACAAGATATTGAACACTGCTTATTAAGGAAATCAATCAAAATCCTGTCAGGATTTTCTCATGGGAAAGAAGTTCATCCCGTTATCTGTACAACAATATTATGGCTATATGAGTCATATGACAAATTTGTTATTGTTAGTGTAACTTGTGACTTGTGTGTTGTGCACGTAGTATACTGCTAATTACTGCCACCTATTGGCGTGTGTATGCTAGTTATCCAGTGGGTGGGTATAGAGTGACAATACAACTGGAGCATGTATGCCCAGCTTTGGCAGTTGTAGCTGCAGTTGCAGTAGAGTGTTAGCCACTATGTAGGTATGGGTTATGTAGTTGTAACTAATAACCAAGTAGTGTACTTTTCTCTGAGAGTTTTTGGCTAGAGACTTTATATTTGTGGATAAGTCTTGGATGCTGAATTTATGAGAAGTGTTTTTCCTTATATTTTGTTTACAACTTGTATTTTATGGAGTTTTGCATTTTTATCAATAAACAACCAGATAGTATAAATTTTCTGGCTGAGTTTCTTTG